TGCATTGATCGCGCTGGGAGCTGCAGACTGGAGCTGTTGGTGTTCAGCCATCTTTCCTGGAAGTAGTTCACTGTTTTTTAGAAAACCATTTGGAGTATGTTAGATTGTAGATAATTTATTCACTATTGGAAGGAAACTGAAACATTTATTGTTAATTATACTGTGATATGAATACTATTCTTCCATTTTGTATTAGGATATAGTTACAGCATTAAGTTTGCAAGTATACAGTGTAATTGCTACCATGGAAATACGAAAATCTTACCTTAAAGATAATGGTTTTATGTTATCATCTTAAAATTTTTAGATCAGCCTGGAAAGGAACAGTCTTAAATAGACATAATAAGAATCTGCTTCCTTTAGTCTCTTCCACAGTAATCTAAAGATGCTTCCTAGCATCTTCCTTCCATGATCTTCAAGCTGCTTCCTAGGAGCTGGTTTGTGGTAATACTGCCAACTGAAGACGGGAAAGCTCTGCAAGTACTCCTAAGGCTTAGCGGTACTGCATGGGTAGGGGCGCTTGAGCCCTAGGAAGAGGCCATTTGTGATTGCACCTCTCTTCAACCTGTACTCTAAATGCCAGTGCTTTTACATTTCTTGCTTTTTCTGTTTTGCTTAGAGTTTAGTAAAGTCTCACTGAAAGGTTTAGCTTGCTTCATTCCAACTAAGGAGAGCCAAAGGAAAGATGTTTCACTTGAACCAAGAATGGTGGACCCCCAGAATCCCGTGAGAACTATTAGGTGAACCCACAGGGGTCAGAGTGCTTCTGGTAAAACTCAAGGAGACATAGCTTCTTTCCAGTAGCAAACTTTGCTACTTTTAGCATTTGTTTAAATTAGGAAAGGCTATTTTGTCATTATGTACTGCAGTTGCTGCCAGGGTAGTTAATTAAGTGAGGAGTACTTCCAATTTTCTCTCTTAGTTGTCTTCCTCTCCTTTCTTCTGCTTTGAAGATGGTTATTTATAGTCATTGATACATGTCAAAGAAGTAAAGACTGGAAAGACCAAGGGATTATATGAGATAAAAGATAGGAAACTATTTAAAATTAAAGAATCTCTTTACACTAAATATCCCATATATATTTTCAAATGATTAAAAGTAATTTTACGGCCAGAGGCGGTGGCTCACACCTGTAATCCCAGCACTTTGGGAGGCCAAGGCATGTAGATCACGGGAGGTCATGAGTTCGAGACCAGCCTGACCACCATTCGAATGTAAAAGTCAAAGATAGTCGTGACTTTTGAAATTACCATCAGCTCAATATTAGATACAAATAAGTCATCAATGAGTATCAAACTAGTAAAAAATGGTGTGTTTCTTATTTGTTTTAGAATATATGACAGCAATTTTTGAAATTTTTTTAGTTCTCAGAATACAAATATTAGTACTCCCTTACTAGGTAATACATCACCTAAAGTTAAAAGGATTGGAACACACAGGTATATGAGGAGAATATTTGTGACTATTTTCACATGTGCCTAACTAGAGGTAAAAGTATATGTCTTGGTTTTTTTTCTTCTTTGCATGCCTGCTAACTTTGATTGGATGCCAGAGATTGTGAATTTTACCTTGTTGGATGCTGGATATTGTTAAGTTCCTATATTCTTGACATTTGTTTAACCGAGGCACAGTTAAATTATATCCTTGGAAAAGTTCAATCTTTTCAAGTCTTGCATTTAAACTTTGTCAGGCAGAACTAGAACAATGCTCATTCTAGGGCTGATTATGCCCTGCTACTAAAGCAAGATCCTTCTGAGTACTCTACCCAATGCCTATGAATCTTGAGGTTTCCCACTCTGGTGTGTAGGAACAGAAACTATTCCCAGCCTGTGTGAGCACCTGGCACTTTCCCCTCTAATCCTTTAAGGTACTTTTTCCCCCCGAGTCTCACCCATAAGTGCTGATCAGTATTTAGCTAAATACTTGAGGAGTTCCTCTGCAGATCACTGGAGTTCTCTGCGCAGCTCTCTCCCTTCCAGAATATTCTCCTGAGCACTCTAGCCGCTTTGGTCTCCCTGAGCTTTCAGTTCCATCTTCTCATCTTAGGGAGTCTGCCAGGCTCCACCTGGATTACTCCTCTCCTTATTGCTGTATCCTAGAAACTATCCCAAGGCACTAAGCTGGGGCAATCACAGGACTCACTGAGTGTGTTTTTCATCTTTGTTATTTGATGTTCAGTTTCCTGCAACTGTTGTTTCATATATTTTTTCTGTTTCTGGTTGTTTCATACAAGAAGGTAATCTAGTCCCTGTTACTCTATATTGGTCAGAAGTATAAATCTGATGTATATGGATTTAATTTCAACTAGAAACTAATTTGAAGAGAAGGATGTGAGTGCTATGTCAAACATTAATAAAGGACTGGCTGGATAAATTATGGTATACCTATATAACAAAATTATGCAGCTGATCACAAAAATGAACTACAGATGAACTACAGTTACATGTTTTGGAAAGGTCTCTAAGGAATATTGTTAGTGAAAGAATTAAACTCATCCTTTTATTTCATTATTCAAGGAATATTTATTGAGCACCTCCTTTTGTTTTCTTTGGAGACAAGATCTCACTATGTTGCCCATGCTGGACTCAAACTCCTGGGCTCAAGCAATCCTTCCACCTCAGCATCCCGAGTAGCTGAGACTACAGGTGCATGCCACTGTGCCTGGTTTATTGAGCCACTGTTTCGTAGTAGCCACCATGCTAAGCATTTAGAATCTAATAGCAAGATACAGACATTGACCGGGCGCAGTGGCTCATGCCTGAAATCCCAAAGCTCATGCCTGTAATCTGCAGGTGGATTGCTTGAGCTCAGGAGTTTGAGACCAGCCTGGCAACAGAGTGAAACCTCGTCTCTACAAAAAATACAAAACTTAGCTGGACATGGTGGCGTGCACCTGTAGTCCCAGCTACTTGGGAGGCTGAGTTGGGAGAATCACTTGAGCTTGGTAGGTTAAGGTTGCAGTAAGCCCTAATCACACCACTGCACTCCAGCCTGGGTGACAGAGTGAGACCCTGTCTCAGAAAAAAAAAAAAAAAAAACATACAGACATTGCTCTGCCTTTAAACAAAGCTTGTTGATTTAAATTCTAGTACGTGGGAGGGGGAGGTAATAGAAAATAAACAAACATCATGATTAATGTTAAATTCTGTAAAGGAAATATATAGAATGGCATTCTAAGATGAATGGGGGGTCCTAATTTTAGATAAGGTGATCAGAGAAAATCTCTGTAAGGAAATAACATTTATTATCTGAGACATGAAGGATAAGGAGTCAGACAACAAAACAGTATCCCATGCAGAGGGAAGAACAAGACCAAAGGCTCTGAGAAGGGCAAGAACTTAGCATGTTCAAGAAGCTGAAAATACAGAGCAAGAAGAGGAGCAGAGTTATCAAGGACAAGAGTGGTGCAGAGGTGGTGGAAGTTTTCAGGAACCAGATTATAGAATTTGTAGGCCTCAGTTAGGAGTTTGGATTTTTCTCTAAGCTGCAGAAAAGTGAATAGTAGTATTCCATTTATGTAATAATGCAAAACGATAGTCATAGATAATGTGTATACGATTTTTGGGAAGATATTTTATAGATGTAATTAACCATGGCTACCCCTGAAGTGTAGAAATAGAGACTGAAGGAATAGGTAGAAAGGCCTTTACTTTATACCCTTAATGATTGAATATTTTAACTTAAGAGATATTGCTTTTCAAATTGAATAAAGTAGTGGATTTATGTTTTTAAAATAGTTCTTATAAATTATTTTTAAAACAATGAGCAAAAATATGAACCAGAAATTTACAAGAGAGAAATACCAATAAACCTATGAAAAGATATTCAGCCTTATTAACGACCAGAAATAATGCAATCTAGATTTTCACCTCAAATATTGACAAAGACAAAACATATTGACAGCCTCCAGTTTCAATGAGGGTGGAGGCACGCGGATGCTCTCAGGTACTTTAATATGAGTATATATTGATCCAGACTTTCTAGAGGACAGTTTGACAATATATTTCCAAAACTCTGAAAAGTACACATCTTTTTTTTCTAGGAATTTGTTTTAAGGAAGTAAATCAGGAGAACAAGTCTAAAAATGTAGATAAAAGGTCATTATTTACAGCATTGTTTAGAATCGTAAATAATTGGGACCTATTATATATCAGTAGAAGATTGTTTAATTTATGATATAGTTCATTCTGTAGACATTAAAATTTATGATGAAGTTTTGTGTTTATCGACATGTCAAGGTGTTTACAGGGTATTATTCAATAAAACCCTCTAGCAGTTTAGAATATTATGTATGTAGTAGAATTTCTTTCCTTAATTATGTGGACTTAAGTGTGTATGTATCACATAGAGAACTCCTAGAAGTTTAATACAAAAATATTAAGGGTAATTTTTGCTGTGTAGTAGGGCTTGTAATATTTGTTGAACTTTTAATATTTTTGGATTTTAATTTTTTATAATAAATATATGTTAATGCCAGCCGGGCGCAGTGGCTCACGCCTGTAATCCCCACACTTTGGGAGGCAGAGGCGGGTGGATTACCTGACCTCAGGGATTGGAGACCAGCCTGGCTAACACGGTGAAACCCTGTTTCTACTAAAAATACAAAATATTAGCCAGGCATGGTGGTGCACCCTTGTAATCTCATTTACTCAGGAGGCTGAGGCAGGGGAATTGCTTGAACCCAGGAGGCAGAGGTTGCAGTGAGCTGAATTCGCGCCATTGCACTCCAGCCTGGCGGAAGAGTGAGACTCCATCCATTTCAAAATAAAATCTAAAAAAAAAAAAATATATATATATATATATACACACATATATATATGTATGTTAATTTTCCAGTGAGTGAAAGCTATAATCCATAAAAAAGGAAAATATAGGGAGTAAATAGGTAATATAGAAAAGTTTAAGTATTTATGCATGTAATTTGATAAAGAGTAATGAAATTTACAGTATTGGTTTGATCCGGAGTAACTGATCTTCATAATGCTTTTTGATTTTGTAGGACTAGAAGAAATTGCAAAAGAAAGAGAAAAACTAAAAAAGGCAGAAAGTGTCCAGATCAAAGAAGAAATGTTTGAGACTTCTGGGGACAGTTTAAATTGTTCAAATACGGATCACTGTGAACAAAAGGAAGATCTTAAAGAAAAAGATAACACAAATCTATTCCTTCAGAAACCTGGCTCTTTTTCCAAATTAAGCAAGCTTTTGGAAGTAGCTAAGATGCCTCCTGAGTCAGAGGTTATAACCCCCAAACCAAATGCTGGTGCAAATGGGTGCACATTGTCTTATCAGAACAGTGGAAAACATTCACTGGGCAGTGTTCAGTCAACAGCAACGCAAAGCAATGTGGAAAAGGCAGACTCGAATAATCTGTTTAATACTGGTTCAAGTGGTCCAGGGAAGTTCTACAGTCCTCTCCCCAGTGACCAGTTACTAAAAACGCTGACTGAAAAGAATAGGCAATGGTTTAGTCTTTTGCCACGAACGCCTTGTGATGACACTTCACTTACTCATGCTGATATGTCAACTGCTTCTTTGGTGACTCCTCAGTCTCAGCCACCATCTAAGTCACCTTCACCTGCCCCAGCTCCTCTTGGATCTTCTACTCAGAATCCTGTTGGCTTAAATCCATTTGCTTTATCACCTCTTCAGGTTAGTACTGCTAACTGTAACTCATTTTTATATTGCTTTATGTAATCTTTGACCCCATGGAGATTTTCACTCTAGGGAGATTACTCAAATAGTTAAAATATTCCTGCTACAGTTTGAAAACTGAAGCAAGTCAGAATTTCTGTCACCAAGGTTCATTAGAACTACTGATCTCTAGCCTTGGTGTGAGTCTTCTTTAATTACTTTTTAACTTATTACTATAACAGTATATCCGAAAGGAAAATTACTTTGGGGAACAAATAAGAACATGGAATTTAACATTTTTGTTGCTAATGTATTTCGTTTTCCTCTAATTCTAATAAATGAAAGAATATTTTTCAAAATTTGAAAAATAATTTCATATTCCAAACATTTTTCCTAACTTCTTAATCTACTTTTCATTAATAAATGTTTTCTTTTTGCAGGTGAAAGGTGGAGTATCTATGATGGGACTTCAGTTTTGTGGGTGGCCCACTGGTGTGCTTACTTCTAATATTCCATTTGCATCATCTGTACCTGGTCTAGGATCGGGGTTAGGGTTATCGGAAGGAAATGGTAATTCGCTCTTGACTTCCACTGTTGCTTCGAGTAAAAGTGAGTCTCCAGTACCACAGAATGAAAAGGCCACTTCAGCTCAACCTGCAGCTGTTGAAGTAGCAAAACCAGTAGATTTTCCTAGTCCAAAACCTATTCCAGAAGGTAGGTACATTGAGATAGTTTATAGCAACTTACTCAATTTCAGTATTATGGATTCCTATATTGTAACTGAATATTTGACGGTTCTATATGTAGTTAATAAATCTTTTTATTTCCATGGTATCATTTCCTATTCAAAATATTTGTAAAAGATCTACTTATTTATCTTGACTTAGAAATGCAGTTTGGTTGGTGGAGAATTATTGACCCAGAGGACCTAAAAGCTTTGCTCAAAGTGCTACATCTCAGAGGAATAAGAGAAAAGGCATTACAAAAACAAATTCAGAAACATTTGGATTATATTACTCAAGCCTGCGTCAAGAATAAGGATGGTATGTACCTAAAAGAGATTTCAGCTTTCTTTCTTGCTTAGTTATTAGAATTCATTATTTTATTCTCAAGCATATTTTAGTACAGTCTACTGGTCCTTCATATTCATGAGTTCCACATCTGTGGATTCAACCAATCACAGATCAAACACTGTCAAAGAAAAGAAAGATGGGTGCATCTGTACTAAACATATACAGACTTTTTTTTCTTATTCTTCCCTAAATAATATAGTATAACAACTATTTCCATAGCATCTACATTGTCTTAGGTACTGTAAGTAACCTAGAAATAACTTAAAGCATATGGGAGGATGTACATAGATTACATGCAAATAGTACACCTTTTTTTTTTTTTTTGGTGAGAGAGTCTTGCTGTGTCACCTAGGCTGGAGAACGGTGGTGCAGTCATAGCTGACTGGATTCTCAAAGTCCTAGGCTCAAGCAATCCTCCTGCCTCAGCCTTCTAAGTAGCTGGGACTACAGGCACATGCCCCCACACCCAGCTAGTTTTTTTTTATTTTTTGTAGAGACAGGGTCTCACTATGTTGCCCAGGCTGGTCTCGAACTCCTGGCCTCAAGTGATCCTCTCACCTCAACTTCTCAAAGTGCTAAGATTATGGGCATGAGCCACCACTCCTGGCCAACACCATTTTATATAAGGGATGTGAACATCAAAAGGTTTTGGTATTCATGGGGGCGGGGGGGGGGTCCTAGAACCAATTCCCCACAGATAACAAGAGAGAAATGATATCTTAATGCACTACTATTTTTTTATGTTTTACTCAACAAACTATTTATATTTTTTAAATTGGTGTTACTGTCTTGTGATTTTTTACACCTGCAGACATATTGTTTTGTGTTTCTTAGCATGTTTCTACTTTTCAGAGTAAACTGCGTGTACATACACAAGTGCATTTGTATATGTTAAGTTAGATGTACATGGCTCCCCTAGAATTTTATTCACTTTCTGGAAGAAATCTCTGAGGAAAAAAACTTAATACGTGGATTTTTAAATTAATTTCTTTTTAAATGTAGTTGCTATTATTGAACTGAATGAAAATGAAGAAAACCAAGTAACTCGAGATATTGTGGAGAACTGGTCAGTAGAAGAACAAGCAATGGAAATGGATTTGAGTGTCCTTCAACAGGTAGAAGATCTAGAAAGGAGAGTTGCATCAGCAAGTTTGCAAGTGAAGGTAAAATCGACTTGGAATAAAATCTGTTTTTAGGATAATGGAAGGTAACTAATGCTTATTACATGCCTAATATATGCTAGCTAATGTGCTAAATGTTCTTACTTTATCTCGTTTAATTCTGAAAACAATCCTGGATTATTTTGCCCCATCTGGTAAGGAATCAGGCTCAGAGTAAGTAATGTGCCAATGGTCATATAGTAAGTGCCTAAATGTGCATTTAAACCAAGTCTGACTCCAAAGCCCATGTTCTTTTTAGTAATCTTGCTACCTCCTTAATGGTATTCAGAAGTATTATTTCTGATGTGCAGTTCTTTACTACCAGCAGAATTCCAGTTTCACTGAGATGAATGTGATGATCTAGTACAACATTATCAATAGGAGTTATCAGACTCCTATTGTAGTGTTTCATATAAGGCTATGAACTTCCTTATATACAAGCCATGTTATGTGTCAGACTTTTACACTATATAGTTTAATTTGGAGACCAATATAGATATATCCAAATATATGTTATAGAGCATTATGATATACTGTCACATGTACACATACCCTACATATATATGTAAAGTTTTTATATACTGATTTATTCATTTCTTCATGTATCTGCTGGGCATTATCATGTCACAGGTAATGATCAGAACTGGTTTCCAGTGAACAAACAGAAGGAAAGCTTTACCCTTGTGCAAGAATTTTTGGTTTTGTGAAGAGGCGTATAAAGATCTCCTTAGCAGGTTTAGAACCTGCTAAGGTTCTGTTTTGGTTTTTGGTTTTGTTTGGTTTTGTTTTGTTTTTCTTTTTTTGAGACGGAGTCTCACTCTGTCACCCAGGCTGGAGTGCAGTGGCACAATCTCGGCTCACTGCAACCTCCACCTCCAGGTTCAAGTGATTCTCCTGCCTCAGGCTTCCAAAGTACATGCCATGACGCCCCGCTCATTTTTGTATTTTTAGTAGATACGGGGTTTTGCTACGTTGGCCAGGCTGGTCTCAAACTCCTGACCTCAAGTGATCCACCCGCTTTGGCCTCCCAAAATGCTGGGATTACAGGCATAAGCCACTGCACCTGGCTAGAACCTGCTAAGGTTCTAAAGGTTTAGAAAACTTAATCTCCATGTAATTTGATTTGAAATGCCTTGCTTTATTCAGAATGAGAAATTTATGGCATAATGCTATCCTATTTAATAATTGAGATTTTGCTTCATAATCAGTTTAACATAGGCATTTGGACACTTTTAAGGATCTCAAAAAATGTAGTTTTCCAGAGCTAATAAAATATCCCTTTCTTGTGACAAACATAATTACCAACCTTGGGAAGCAAAAATTTATTATCGAAACTATTGTGCTAGTAAACTATGTGTCTCCTCCTCCTGGTTCTATAATAACAGTATAAAAGTGCCTCGTGTATTGTCATCTTTCTGGCATCTTCAACAAATGAACCCTTTCACACTATTTTATTTTCTGGAGAAATGAAAATTATTCCATTTAGTGCTGGAATATTTTAACATGTTTTTGGATCACTTACGTTACACATTTCACTGAAAATAACAAACCTGATTTAAATTATCATGGTGGCACAGAATCATCAGTATGAAGATCAATTATTAGACAATAATTCCCTCACGAAATGAGAAGAGGTTTGGCACCTAACCTAATGATCTTAGTGTGCTTTGCTTTTAAAACTGCTACATCTACTTTCTATAACCTGTGGTTGCCCTTTCAGATTGTCAGTTGATACTACTTGCTGATTTAAATTTGATTGGTTCCACAAGAACTGTTTTCCTCCAGCTTTTTCCCAACTCATTTGCCAATTCTAATTGACTGTTGGTTGGGAAACTGTATCATCAGGCTTTTTAAAAATATGTGTAAAGTCAGAGTGTGGGCCTGAAACATTTTCCTGGTGACATACTCAGATTTTGGTCCTTTGACCTTATCACATTGCTGGCTGCTTAAATGTTCTTGGTTGTGTTATCAGTAGCTAAGTAGAATTTGCTTCATAAATCGTTTTAAATTCATAAATAATAATGTACAGTATCATGGAGTACATGGTGATGTTTTGGTACATATAATGTATACTGATCAGATCAGAGTAATTAGCATATTCATTATCTGAAACATTTTCCATTTTTTTCTGTTAAGAATAATCTCCTTTAGCTACTTGAAACAATATATATTATTAACTGTAGTCATCCTGCAGTGGTATAGAGCACTAGAACTTATTTCTCCTACCTACCAGTAATTTTGTTTTTTGTTTTTTGTTTTTGACACCGAGTTTCACTCTTTTTGCCCAGGCTAGAGTGCAGTGGCGCGATCTCGGCCCAGGCTAGAGTGCAGTGGTGCTATCTCGGCTCGGGCTGGAGTGCAGTGGCACGATCTCAGCCCAGGCTAGAGTGCAGTGGTGGGATCTTGGCTCAGGCACCGCAACCTCCACCTCCCGGATTCAAGCGATTCTCCTGCCTCAGCCTTCCTGAGTAGCTGGGATTACAGGCATGCGCCACCATGCCCAGCCAGTAGTTTTGTATTCTTTAACAAACCTCTCTTTATCCCTCCCTGCCCCCACTTTCTCCAGCCTATAGTATCCTCTGCTCTATTTTTTGCTTCTATGAGATCAATTTTTTTTAAGCTTCCACATGAATGAGAACATGTAATGTTTAACTTTGTGTGCCTGGCTTATTTCACTTAATGTCCTCCAGTTCCATCTATGTTGCCTCTGATATTTCATTCTTTTTGAGTTGTATAGCATTCTGTTGTGTATTTTTGCCACATTTTCTTTATCCATTTATCTGTTGTTGAACCCCTGGATTCATTCTGTATTTTGGCTATTGTGAATAGTGCCACAGTAAACATGGGGATGCAGATGTCTCTTCAATACAAGAATTTTCTTTTCCTTTGGATAAATTCCCAGTAGTAGGATTGCTGGATCATATGATAGCTCTATTTGTAGTTTCTTGAGGAACCTACATACTGTCCTTCATGGTGGCTATACTAGTTTACATTCCCACCAACAGTATGTAAGAGTTCCCTTTTCTGTGCATTCTTACCAGCATCTCATTTTTTTTCCTTTTTTTTTTTTGGTGGGGGGGTGCGGAGTCTTGTTCTGTCGCCCAGGCTCTGGAGTGCAGTGACGCGAACTCGGCTCACTGCAAGCTCTGCCTCCCAGGTTCACGCCATTCTCCTGCCTCAGCCTCCCTGGTAGCGGGGACTACAGGCGCCCACAACCATGCCCAAGTAATTTTTTGTATTTTTAGTAGAGATGAGTTTTCATCGTGTTAGCCAGGATGGTGTCGATCTCCTGACCTCGTGATCGACGTGCCTCAGCCTCCCAAAGTGCTGGGATTACAGGTGTGAGCCACCACGCATGACCTTTTTTTTTTTTTTTTTTTTTTTTTTTTATATGATTGCCATTCTAACTGGGGTGAGGGAGTGCAGCATTGTGGCTTTGATTTGCATTTCCCTGATAAGTAGTGATGTTGAGCATTTTTTCATATATTTGTTGGCCATGTATATTTGTCTTCTTTGAGAAATGTCTGTTCAGATTATTTGCCATTTTAATGTTGGATTTTTTTTTTTTTTTTTTTTTTTTGGCTGTTGAGATGTTTGAGTTGCTTGTATATCCTGGATATTAATCTCCTTTCAGATGTATTATTTGCAAATATTTTATCCCATTCTGTGGCTTTTCTTTGCACTCTGTTGACTTTTTCCTTTGCTGTACAGAAGTTTTTTCATTTTCTATAATCGCATTTGTTTATTTTTGCTTCTGTTACCTGTGCTTTTGAAGTTTTATATATAAAATATTTTCCCAGACCAATGTCCTGTTTCTCCTAGCAGTTTTATCATTGGGGTCTTACATTAAGTCTTTGATCTATTTTGAGTTGATTTTTGTATAGAGTAAGAGGTGGGGGTCTAGTTTCATTCCTCTGCATATGGATATCCAGTTTTCCTGGCACCATTTATTGAAGAGACTATTCTTTTTACAATGAGCATTCTTGGCACCTTTGTTAAAAAGCAGTTGGTTGTAGAGGTATGGATGAATTTCTGGGTTTTCTATTCTATCCCTTTGGTCTATGTGTCAGTTTTTATGCCTGTACATTGCTGTTCTGGTTACTACAGCTTTGTAGTTTATTTTAAAGTCTTGGTAGTCTGATACCTCCAGCTTTGTTCTTGTTGCTCAGGATCGCTTTAGCTATTCAGAGTCTTTTGTAATTCCACACAAAATTTAATATTTTTTCTTTATTTCTGTGAAGAATGTCATTAGTGTTTTGATAGGGATTGTGTTGAATGTGTAGATTGCATTGGGTAGTGTTGTCATTTTAACAATATTTATTCCTCCGATCCATAAGCATGGTTGTATCCTCTCATCCTCTTCAGTTTTTTTCATCAGTGTTTATAGTTTTCCTTGTAGAAGTCTTTCACTTCTTTGGTTAAATTCACTCCTAGAGTTGGGTTTTTGTTTTTGTTTGTGTTTGTTTGGTAGCTGTTGTAAATGGGATTGCCTTCTTGATTTCTTTTTTAGTGAATTCATTGTTCATGTATGAAAATGCTGCTGAGGCCGGACATAGTGGCTCATGCCTGTAATCCCAGAACTTTGGGAGGCGGAGGTGAGAGGATCACTTGAGCTCAGGAGTTTGAGACCAGGCTGGGCAACATGGCAAAACCCCATCTCCACAAACAATACAAACATTAGCTGGGCATAGTGGCACGTGCCTGTAGTCCCAGCTACTTGGGAGGCTGAGGTGGGAGAATGGCTTGAGCCCAAGAGGCGAAGTTGCCTTGGCTATTTGTGCTCTCTTTTGGTTCTATATGAACTTTTAAATAGTTTTTTCTAGTTCTTTGAAGAATTTCATTGGCAGTTTTATAGGAATAGCATTGAATCTGTAAATTGCTTTGGTCAGTATGGCCATTTCAATGATATTTATTATGCCTATCTATGAGCATGGGATGTTTTTCCATCTGTGTCATCTCTGATTTCTTTGAGCAGTGTGATGTAATTCTCATTGTAGAGATCTTTCACCTCCCTGGTTTACTACATTACTAGGTGTTTTATTGTTAGCAAAAGTAACTTTTTGTTTTGTTGATCTTTTGTATTTTTGTCTCCATTTGGTTTATTTCTGCTCTGATCTTGTTTCTTTCCTTCTACTAATTTGGGGTTTGATTTGTTCTTGCATATCTAGTTCCTTGAAGGGCATTGCTAGATTGTTTACTTGAAATCTTTCTACTTTATTAATGTAGGCATTTATTGCTATAAACTTGCCTCTTAATACTGCCTTTGCTGTGTCCCATACGTTTTGGAATGTTGTGTTTCTATTTTCATTTATTTCAAGGAATTTTAAAATTTCATTCTTAGTTTCTTTTTTTACCCAGTGGTTGTTCAGGACCTTGTTGTTTATGTTACATGTATTTGCATAGTTTTAAATGTTCCCTTTGTTATTGATTTATAGTTTATTTCCATGTAGTCAGAGAAGATACTTGATATGATTTCAAATTTTTAAAATTTTTCGAGATTTGAGTCCTAACATATGTTCAGTCCTGGCATATGTCCCATGTACTGATGAAAATAATGTGCATCTGCATCTGATAGATGAAATGTTCTGTAAGTGTCCATTTGATCTATGGTGCAAAGTGATTTTCTGTCTAGAAAATCTATCCAGTGCTGAAAGTGGTATGTTGAAACCCCCAGCCATTATCATATTAGGATCTACCTCTACATTTGGATCGAATAATATTTTGCTTTATGCATCTGAGTGCTCTGGTATTGAGTGCATATATATTTACAATTATTATATTCTCTTGTTGAATTAATCCCTTTATTATATAATTTTCCTTCTTTGTCTCTTTTAACAGCTTTTAACTTGAAGTTTTTTTTTATCTGACATAAGTATAACTATTCCTCTTCACTTTTGATTTTCATTTACATGGGATATTTCTATCCATCCATTCACTTTCAGTCTGCATATGTCTTTACAAGTGAGGAGAGTTTCTTACAGGCAGCATGTAGTTGGGACTTGTTTTTTTAATCCAGCCAGCCAGTCTATGTCTTTCAAATGGGAAATTTAATTCACTTACATTCAGGATTACTATTTATAGGTGAGTGCTTACTCCTGTCATTGTGTTGATTGCTTTTCAGTTGTTTTGTATAATCCTTTGTTCCTCACTTCCTTGATTATTATTTATTTTTGTGGCTGGGTGTTTTTCCATAGGGATAACAGTTTATCATCAGGCTTTTTAAAATTATGTGTGTAATAATTGCCTTTCTCTTTCTCCTTTGTGTATTAGCTTTCCCAGTGAGTTTTATAGTTTCATATTTTCATGATGGTGGTTATCATCTTTTTACTTTCATGTATAAGACTCTTTGAGCATTTCTTGCATGTTTAGTCTAGTGGTGATGAATTCCTTCACTTTCCCTCAGTCTGTAAAAGACTTTTTTTCTCCTTCATTTCTGAAGGCTAGCTTTGCTGGGTATAATATTCTTGGCTGGCAGGGTTTTTTTTTCTCTTGCTGCTTTGAATATATCATCCCATTCTTTCCTGGCCTATAAGGTTTCTGCTGAGAAATCCACTGTTAGTCTAATGAGGATTTCTTTATATGTGACTTGACACTTTTAATGCTTTCAGAATTCTTTGTCTTTTGACTTCTTACAGGGTGACTATAATATGCCTCAGAGAGGACCTGTTTGGGTTGAATTTCTTGGGATTCTTCGAACTTTCTGGACCTGAATTTTCATCTTTCTCCCAAGACGTGGGAAGTTTTCTGCTATTATTTCATTAAATTTGTTTTCCTCACATTTCCCTTCTCTTCACCTTCTGTAACACCCACAAGAATATTTGTTTGCTTAATGGTGTCCCATAAATCCTATAGACTTTTTCATTCTTTTTTCCTTTTTCTTTGTTTTCCTTTCTTTCTTTCTTCCCTGCTCCCCACCCCCTGGGTCTGCCTGTGTTATTTCAAAAGACCAATCTTTGGGTTCAGAAAATCTTTCTTCTTGGTCTAGTCTGTATTTTTGGTCCAGTCTTGTATTTTTTATTTTATTCATTGAATTATTTAGCTCTAGCACTTCTATTTGGTTCTTTTTTATATCTGTCTCTTTGTCGATTTTCTCATTCAAATCATGATTTGTTTTCCTGATTTAGTCTAATTGTCTTTATGTATTCTCCTATTTCTTCTATCAAACCATATATTTGTACCCATTAATCAATTTCTCTTACTCTCCCTCTCTCACTACCCTTCTCAGGCTCTGGTAACCACCAGTCTACTCTCTACATTCTAGAGTAGAGTAGCTTTTTTAGTTCTCACACATGAGTGAGAACATATAATAATTTGTCTTTCTGTGTCTGGCTTATTTTACCAAGGATAATGTCCTCCAGTTCCATTCATTTTGCTGCAAATAACAGGATTTCATTCTTTATGACTGAATAGTATTCCATCCTAAAAATATACTGCATTTTCTTTATCCATTTGTCTATTGATGGGCATTTAGCTATTGTGAATATTGCTGCAGTAAATATGGGAGTACAAGTATTTCTTCCATATATTGATTTTCTTTCTTTTCTATGTATATCTACTAATGGAATTGCTAGATCATATGGTAGTTCCATTCTTAGACTTTTGAGGAAACTTCACACTGTTTTTCATAGTGAATAAGTTGGTTGTCTACCTTGATCTCACTTTTTTCAGTCTAGAAACTGTGAATTGGGGGGAAATTTTCTGTGTGCTTGGTTCCCGGCAGAATGAGGGTAGAGAAGCATCATGGATGTGGAAGTCCAATTCTCTTACCATCTGCTCAGAGTTTTTTCACTTCTCTCTTGCCCCCGGGAACTGTCTCATCCTCATGTTTGAATTTTGGGATGTTGCTGGTGATCATCTCAGTGCCATATATTTATTTTTGGTTTTCTGAGTGGTTGGCGGCAGGGGCAGGGGGGCAGTGGGGGCAGGAACTGAAGCCAGCTTGCATCTGTGCCACTATTTTAAGAGTCCATTCTTCCTTTCTAAATATAAATATTCTGCTGAGTTAAAGGGGAAGAACTGATCCTAGTATATAAAATAAAATAATTATATCTGAAGAGATGTTTAAGTTCATTCTGTTTTTCATTTAATATGCATTTATTAAATACCTATTGCATCTCAGGCAGTGGACACCAAAAAATTGAATAAAATTTTGTTCCTACCATCAGAAAGCTTGTCATATAATAGGGAGATCAGGCATATACATATATGCAGAATCTAGTACCTGATTGTTGAGAACAGAGTAATGCATGAATTTAGAAAAAGAATACTGACTTCTGGCAGAGATATAGAAGAGATCATGGAAGATTTCATGTAGAAGTTGAAATGGAACTTAAGAAAATGAGTATGGTTTGGACAGTTAGAGACCAGGGAATATCATACTAGGAAGTGGGAACAGCATGAGCAGAGCATGAGGATTGGGAAGCTTATCCCATGTTTGTGGAATAGCAAGTTATAGAATTTGACTGCAACATAAGATGTGTGATTGGGAACATGAAAAGGGATAGATTGAGGTGCTTGAATGCCATGGTGAACATTTCCTAAAGAATAGGAAATCTTTGAAGGATTTTGAGCTACAGGATCAAAAATCCTTTGAAGGATTTTGATTACTCAGTCAGCATACATGTATTGAGTGCCCATTATTTGCCTGCACTATACTGGAGATAAATGAGTAAAAGCAGACATAGTCCTTGCTCTCATGGAATTTAGAAGTAGAAAAATATTCATCAAATAATCACACTAGTATAACATTGTATTTATGACAAGCCTAAGGAGCATGGTCCTGTGAGAACCTGTCAGAGTGGGACTTAGCTCCTGAAAGAGGTCAGGAAAGGATTCCTGTCAGGGGATCCTTTCATGTTAAAGTGAATCTTAACATGAGAGCTAAAAAATGAGTGGTGTTAATGAGGTGAAGAGGAGCAGAGAAAAGCAATACAGATAAAGGTAATAGTATTTATGAAACCCCTGCAGTCAAAGGAAAAAGAGCACAGAAGCACCTGTACAGAAGAATAATGGAAGGAATGAAAACAGAAAGGAAGAGCAAAGCTCAGAGGCTACCCAGACATTTCCATTTAAGTGATCCGATGAAACTGATAAGCATTTTAGTCTAAAATCCTTCAAAATATTTTGCTGATTGTTCTTACACTGTTTATAATATCAAAAGTTTTTAAATTTTATTTTTCAAACTTTTCTTACAACTATTTCTTTTAATTTTTTCTTCTTATTTCTACCTAGTTTTAGGAAACACAAGGTAAAATCTTTTAGTAACGATCCTTGAGATCTGCCCGTATCCAATGCTGTTTTTTAAGTAAAGGTAATTCACCCATCTGGCATTTTAAGAGGAAACCACAATAACACTGTTCTCTTGATATATAGGGTTGGATGTGTCCAGAGCCTGCATCAGAAAGGGAGGACTTGGTATATTTTGAACATAAGTCATTTACTAAATTGTGCAAGGAGCATGATGGAGAATTTACTGGCGAAGAAGAAAGCAGTGCACATGCACTAGAACGGAAGAGTGACAACCCCCTAGATATAGCTGTAACCAGGCTGGCTGATTTGGAGCGGAACATTGAAAGAAGGTATCTGAAGAGCCCCTTAAGTACCACCATTCAGATCAAACTGGATAATGTGGGCACAGTTACTGTCCCTGCTCCTGCACCATCCATTAGTGGTGATGGTGACGGGTAGGTTATTGAGATTAACTTGAAAAATTATTGTGCTTCTTTGCTAATTGGAGCCTATTTTCTATTGCCTGTTATCTATGTATCTTCTTGTATGTCTGTGATCCATACGGATCATGCTATTTGCATGGTGCTTTGTAAAAACTTTTTTTTTGTTATGTGCGTTGATAATCCTGCAAAGTGATCTTACATTTACCTGGTTGTGACTAAGCTTTGAGGCACGTAGCCACGGTCTGTGCACTACATCAAATTTAGTTGCTTAAACCTTATACTTATTGGCTGTTACATGTTCTTGTCATTGCTTGGCTTTCAGTGTGATGATTGTTTCACATTCAGTAATTGTAAGTGTGGACATGACCTACTTAATTTTTCTATATTTCAATGCAGAATTGAAGAGGATATTGCTCCAGGGCTCAGGGTATGGAGAAGGGCATTATCAGAAGCTCGCAGTGCTGCACAGGTAGCTCTGTGCATTCAGCAATTACAGAAATCAATAGCATGGGAAAAATCAATTATGAAAGTTGTAAGTGTTTTTATTTAAGAAATATTATAACTAATTTACTTTGTCCTGTTTCTTCCAACCTCCAGATCTTTCTTAATTATACATTACCTACTGTCATAATAATGTGTGCTATATTTGAGAGTTTTTCTAATTCTAAAAGATTTTTGATACTTTCCTCCTCACTGAAGGAATCTTTCAAATGTGTTATCTTTTATTTTTTTAAATCTTGCTTCTGCCTCCTTTGAATATCGTTTATAACTCTAACTGAAGTTGTCTCCCACATTCCATCAGCACAATAGTTGTTAATCTAAATCTTGAAGGCCGTTTCACTGTTGTAAACAGTTCCATTGCTAACATTACCTGCTATATTACTGCATTGCTAAAATGTCTTTTTCTATCAGTTTTCATTTTTTAATTCTAAGAAGCACTTAGATTAGTAAATACAAAATAAGCAGAGAACTCTTAGTTTATGTGCTTATATCATGTGTTTGGCATCGGATGTGGTTGACATGAATAGTAGATCCTTTAATCTTTCCTCTACTAATTAAAATTGGTTTTTCACCTTTCTACAACCCCACTTAGTTTATCATTTAGTTTATCACAAAAATCTCTATTTTGTGTAAGGCACCAAAATGCTGTGTGTTCAAAATGCAAAGCTATAATTCATGTTTTCCAGAGAAATATTTATTTCAAATCATGTACAAGTGTCCCTCTTGCCTCTTTTATATTATCATATATAGAATTATCTGTTATATGTAGTCTTTTATGAATTACTTTAACATTTACTCTTTTTTTTTTTTGAGACAGAGTCTCGCTCACCCAGGCTGGAGTGCAGTGGCACAGTCTTGGCTCACTGCAACCTCCGCCTTCTGGGTTCAGGTGATTCTCCTCCCTCAGCCTCCTGAGTAGCTGGGATTACAGGCACCTACCATCATGCCTGGTTAATTTTTGTATTTTTTAGAAGAGACGGGGTTTCACTGTATTGGGAAAGCTGATCTCAAACTCTTGACCTCAGGTGATCCGCCCACTTCAGCCTCCCAAAATGCTAGGATTACAGGCGTGAGCCACCGTGCCCAGCCACCATTTACTTTGAATTACAGACTAGCTTTAAAATTTAAACATTTGAGATTCTTTTCATGAATGGCTAAAGGTGAAATTCCTCTATTTAAAATGGTTGTTTCCCTGAAGAAAAGAAGTGATTCTTAAATAACTTAGCATTCTTTCTTTCGTTTTTACCTTTATGCTTAGACTACTCAAGGTCTTATTAATTCCAGAAAATAAATTACGTTTCTTCTATGGTTTTTCACTGCTTCCTAAAATATCTATGAATCTGCAGTTTCATAATATGCTCAAATACAGGCCTTTCTCAATTCAGATTGGAATTTACTATAATTTTTTTTTTTTTTTTTTTTTGAGACAGAGTCTCTGTTGCCCAGGCTGGAGTGCAGTAGCACAATATCAGCTCACTGCAACCTCAATCTCCTGGGTTCAAGCGATTCTCCTACCTCAGCCTCCCAAGTAGCTGGGATTACAGGCATGCACCACCACGCCCAGCTAAATTTTGTATTTTCAGCAAAGACAGTGTTTCACCATGTTGGTCAGGCTGGTCTTGAATTCCTGAACTCAAATGATCCGCCTGCCTTGGCCTCCCAAAGTGCTGGGATTACAGGCATGAGCCACCACACCTGGCCCAGAATTTACTATAAATTTTAAGGCACTGTTGGATTCATTTAGTATTGTTTTTACCAGATACAAATATTTTTTCCTTCTAAAAATTATTATTAAAACCAGCTTGAAAGTCACCTTAGACAAATATATTTGGTGAGATCTAGGCAATAATGATTTTTTTAAAAAGAGAGAAACTGAGACTGAGTTCTTGCCAGGTATGGTGGTACATGCCAATAGTCCCAGCTACTCCAGAGGCCAAGGCAGGATCATTTGAACCCGAGAGTTCAAGGCTGTAGTGTGCTATAATCACACTTGAGAATAGCCACTGCACTATAGTCTGGGCAACATAGTGAGACCTTGTCTGTAAATAAAATTGAAAAAAAAAAGATTAAGTCCTAGATCAAAATGAAATTTGTATTTATATTTTTCTCATCTACACCAAAGCAATCATCATGATGTGTTCAGTTTTATTATAAACTTATACACAGAAACCTAAAACTTGTATCAAAACCTGCTTTTATATTGATATATTTAAATTCTGCAATCTATAGCTTTATTTCCATTTTTGCAAATTCATTAACCTTTCCCCTGTTCTTCATCTACCCTTATTAATCATATAATTCTAGCTCTCACAATCTTCATTTCCTTTTTAAAATGCTTAATAATACACTTTTTGCTATGAAACTATCTTGAAAAGAAGGCAGTGTTTCATATTCAAAGATTAAGAAGCACTTTATAACCTTTAGAGACATTACAGTGCCTATAGTAATCCTCATAGTAAGTCCTAACAAAATATTAAAGTGCTCAATATCTTTAGAAATACCCTGTTGGACAAAGACCAAGCTTACCAAGAAAAAGAGGGAGTTGTCATAATTTGCCTCCAGATAATTCTCTGCCCACAGTATACTTTATATTGTTGTTATTAAACAGTAGGCAGCATCCACTATTTTTTACTGTAGTAGCAGAGGAATTAAAACCAAATAATAATATATTTACTGTAACATATTATGAGCTATTACTATAATTTTTCAAAATTGTTATGAGTTTGATATCTGTCACTCTTTCTTTAAAAGTATCAGGAAATAATTTTATTTTTAAATCCTAAGTGTGAGATGTAAGACAGACCTTGTAGTATTTATAGTTACCTAGTAGAGAAAACAATGAGTATTTACTTATGTTCATGAATCTCATTTTTAAATTGTGTTGTTACAGGGATATAAATATATCCTTGCATTGTTATTTCTCAGTGAATACTTTTACAGTAGAAGTTTTAACGATGTAACTCAAATATGGAGAAATAACACCATCTTAAGGTATTCAGTGATGGGGATGTTAGGAAAGGTCATAAAATAGATACGGATTGTTGGAATGTTAAACTCTGCTGCTTTTGCTCGTGGTAACCATGCCAATGTTAATATGAAATATGTAATATATACATTTGATAAACATTTGTCAACTTGAATAGTGTGTCTGCTGTTTTAATAAGATTCTACAACTATCATTGGTATACATACTAAGTTATATAAGAAGACCATTTTAGACTTTCCCAGACTGATACAATGTTGCATTGAAAATTAAAGTAAGTTTGAACGGTTAAGCTATTTTGTTTTTAAGAACATATAAATACCTAACTTAAAGTAGTTTAAATGGTTTCTGGTTTTCATTTTTTAAAACATGGACTGCAGGACATTTTCTTTTGTGACTGGAATATGAACTAGTTGTCAAAAAACAATGTTAGTGCTTACCATCTTTTACAGCCATCTTGAAAGTTTTTACTTGTCTAACTTTTCTTCTTTCCTTTGTAAAACTTACTGTACAGAATATGTGTACACGGAAAAAGTCTTCTTTTTGCAGATTTAAAGTTTTTAATTATATTAGAAAATTTTCAATAGAAAATAACTAGTTTTATTTTTAATTCTAAAAAAATAAATAATGACCTCTTAATTTCTTACATGTATTGTATCTTTTTTCCATAGAAACTGTTTTGTAGGATCCATTTTCTGCACTATGACACATGTTTGATTTGGGTTGATTTTCAAAGTTTCCCAGTTTGAACACATTTTCCAGTCTATCACAATATATATAGATGAATTAGTCAAAAATCTACGGTTATCTTTTAATTATACATAATTATGATACTAATACAAGTTTTCTAATTTTGATTTTAAAAAATACTCTAACTCTTATTTCTTTCTCAGGATATCATGAGGATGCTAAGATAAGCAAAAGATGAAGCACATTAAACAAAGAAAACACCATGTATTAAAGCTATTCATTGCTTTATGTGCTCTAATGTCATGTTAATTATTTCATATGTTAATGTGTACATGCTTCTGAAGTGTGTGCAGGCATTCTGCCTCTAAGCTTTGTTCTTTGCAGTGTACTTGAAATGTGCATTTACCCCACAGCATTTACCCCAACAGAACTGCTCACCCGTCATGTGGTCCATATCTGTGTAACGAAAGATACATAGATGTGTATGGCTACTATATATTTGTTAGCAAGCGGAATGTTCATTACTAATATAAATTAGGAATTATGGTGCATTGAACATCCCAATAACTATTATTCATGGCAGATGGTTAATTTTAAATGATTTTTCATGTATTATAGTACTGCCAAATATGTCGAAAGGGAGATAATGAAGAACTGCTTCTTCTTTGTGATGGCTGTGACAAAGGCTGTCATACCTACTGCCATAGACCCAAGATTACAACAATCCCAGATGGAGATTGGTTTTGTCCAGCTTGCATTGCTAAGGTAAGACGATCTAAAACTAAACTTTTTATTTTATTTTATTTTATCTTTTTTTTTTTTTTTTTTAAATACAGGGTCTCAGTTGCCCAGGCCGGAGTGCAGTAGTATGATCATAGCCCACTACAGCCTAAAACTCCTGGGCTCAAGCAATCCTCTGGCCTCAATCTCCTGAGTAGCTGAGACTACAGGTGTGCACTGCAAGCTAATTTTTACTTTTATTTTTTTTTTTTTTTTTTTTTGTTTTTGTTTTGAGAGAGATACGGTCTTGCTATGTTGCCTACAGTGGTCTCATATCTGACCTCAAGCAATCTTCCTATCTCAGCCTGCCAAGTCACTGGAATTACAAATGCAAACCACTGCACCCAGCTCCAAACAACTTTTTAATTACTAGATTAAAATGCAGAGTTTTATGGTGTTTATGTTTTGAAGGCAGACTCTAGGTATTCCCTACCTCAGTTACTTTCTCCCATATTTAAACTCTTAACCTAATTATTAACAGTAAGCTAATTATTAACAGTCTTTTAACCTAATTATTAACTACCTCTCCATAAGCTCACTTCAAACATCCATCTGTCCACCTCCTTTCTTCCCTTCCACTTCACTCCCTGTAGCACTTCAACTCCAACAATCCTTTGATCTCACCAGGACTTACAGTTTGTCTTAAGACTTTTCACTGTTGCTCTCCCATTTCATGTCCTGTCTTTCCTCCTAATCTGTCTTAGGTGTCATTATCCCATTATCATCCCAATCATTGATTCCACCATTAGGTCCTTTGCCTGCACCTGCCCTTGGTAAAAACCATTATTCTGGTTAATACAACTCTCTGATTTCTCTAGCACCTATACCTTTGTATCTGAATATAGCTGTGCAATACTCAGCCTTTAAATTCAAGGCATTAAGGCCCGGGTATGTTGGCTCACGCCTGTAATCCAAGCACTTTGGGAGGCTGAGATGAGCAGATCATTTGAGAGGAGATCAAGGCCAGCCTGGCCAACATGGCAAAACCCCCATCTCTACTAAAAATACAAAATTTTAGCCAGGCAAAAATTAGTGGTGGCACATGCCTGTAGTCCCAACTACTTGGGAGGCTCAGGCAGGAGAACCGCTTGAACCTCGGAGGTGGAGGTTGCAGTGAACCCAGGTCATGCCACTGCACTCCAGTCTGAGCTACAGAGTGAGACTCCATCTCTAAATAAATAAATAAACAAGGTGTTAGAGGGCCTTTAATGATGTCAATAATTTATCTCTAGCTCTGTCTCCTCCATCTTAATTCTCAGCTTATTGTCATTCAGCTGAGAAAATGGAAGCCATCGGAAGAAAATATCTCATCTTGCCACCACATCTGCTGTCCTTCTGCTTCCAGGCTCACATACCTTACCTTCTCTGCTGTTGCCATGAACTCCTAACTAAGCGAATTTTCCCACTTGTGCCTCAGATTCCATCCCTTCTTACCCCCTTGGGAATGTTATTCCAGCAGTTCTCCCTTCTCCTGCATCACCGATTTCTCCTTCTCCGCTGGGTTCCTCTCTTTAGCCTACTGATGTGCTGCTCTCTCTCCCATCTTAAGAAAACTAAACAAAAACCCTCTTCTGTCCTCACTTCTCCCTTAATCCAGTTCCTCCATTTTTTCCTTCCATTTACAGAAAAACACTTGGAAAATGTTTTGTTCTGGTTCTATCTAATATCTCTCCTCTGGTTTATTCTTTGTTTAAGACAGAATCTTGATCTGTTGCCTTGGCTGGAATGCATTGACACTATCACGATTTATCGCAGTCTGGAGTCCCTCAGGTTCAAGTGATCCTCTCACCTCAGCCTCCCAAGCAGCAGGGACTACAGGCCTGTGCCACTATGCCTGGCTATTTTTTTTTTTTTTTTTTTTGTAGAGATGGGTTCTCACTATGTGCCTAGGCTGGTTTCAAATTCCTGGGCTCAGCTGATTCTCACACTGCAGCCTCCAAAGTCTGGGATTACAGGTGTGAGACAGCACACTCGGCCCTGATTCACTCTTGAGCTCACTATAGATTTTCACCTCCACAGCTTCTCCAAAAGTGCTCTTATCGTGGCCACAAACAGCATTCACATTTCCCACTCCAGTGATCAGTGCCTGTCATCTGACCTATTACATTTGGTAGAGCTGAACACTTTCTCCTCCTTGAAACATTGATTTTCACTTGACTTCTAGCATACCATACTCACCTGGTTTTCTTTCCAGTCTTTGCTTCTTCTCAAATCTCCTTCACTGATTTTTCCCCACCTCCCTGATCTGTAAACATTGGAGTGCTTTCTTTGCCTCAAGGTTATCATCTGTAAAATGGGATAGTATCTGCTTTGTGGGGATTTGTGAAGATCAAATAAGGTCATACACGTAAAAGTTTTTATAACTTTATAGTTATGTGAAATGTTAATTTTAATACTTTATTATATTTTAGACTATATTTCGATTTCTCCTTCTCCGCTGGGTTCCTCTCTTTA